AACCGCCTGCCTCTGCCTCCCAAGTGCTGGGATTAAAGGTGTGCGCCACCATGCCCGGCAAAAAATTAATTTTTTTAACATGTATGAGTGTTTTGCCTGCATGTAAGTGCACCCATGCCGTACAATGCCTGTGGAGGCCAGGAGAGGGTGTCATATCCCCTGGAACAGCAGTTAAGGATGGTTGTTAGCCACCATGTAGGTGCTAAGAACTGAACCTGGGTTCTCTGGGCAAGCAACTAGTACTCTTAACCACTGAGCTATCTCTCTAGCCCCAGGAAAGGGGATTTTTGAGGCTAGAAACCAGAGCCAGATAGACAGCATGGAACTGCTGATGGAGATAGCCGAGAAAATGATCACATCCCTGAGGCTGTGAAGTACCCACAAAATCTCTCTAGCCCCAGGAAAGGGGATTTTTGAGGCTAGAAACCAGAGCCAGACAGACAGCATGGAACTGCTGATGGAGATAGCCAAGAAAATGATCACATCCCTGAGGCTGTGAAGTGCCCACAAGCCAGGGATTAAGAATGGGCTCTGCTCAGAAAGTGATAGGAATGTGTCTACGGACACATGGATAATTTGTTATAAACCAAACAGGGTGAGGGAGCTCCTGGCAAGCATGCAGGACACAGGCTGCCTAGAGCTGGGAGGGAATCCAGGTGACCAAGAATAACAGGGCTTGGAGAAGCACAAGGCCAGTAAGTGTGTGAAAAGTCAGATGCTACCTATCATACCAGCCCCAGCCATGTAGACCAATGGTTTGAGCAGAGTTTGGAGGGGGTCATATCACCTCCAAACCTGACCTCTGAGAGCAAGTCCTGTGACTCCCTAAAGGGTGTGAGGTAGGTGTCATGGTGGGTCTCACCTGCAGCCGCTCGTGGACGGGTTGTGTTGGGGCTCCGTCATCATCAACCTGAAGGCATCAGGGCTGCAAGAGGAGAGGCCAGGTCTCAGATCAGTACTTCATACATTTCTCGTACCCAGCCAGGAACACAGGCTAGGGACACCACAGCACAGACTTAAGAAAAAACTAAACCTGAGGCACTTGCCCAGCGTGTCTGAGGTTCTTGGGTGTTACATGCAGTCCCTCCCCTCAAAAAAGTAAGACCAGAGCGCAGAGTCTCCGGATCTTAGGAAAGACCTGAGGGGTGGACCAGAAGGAGCATTGTCTGTGACCTGTCCATGGGAGCGAGCAGCCACAAGGATCTGACTGGCATCAGGTACACAAAATACAAAGATGACCACTGTACCATCACGTAGAAGGTCGAACCCTAGTGAATATTAGTTACTAGGTTAAGATGGTCTGAAATCGTGAAAGCCTTGGTAATTGCAACTTGAAGATGGAAAAGCCATCTAGTCACCAGGAGACAGGAACTTGGTGGAGGCCTTCTGTGCAGATGGAGCCTGGCCGGAGGCCGAACCTACCTCGAGTGGGTGTCAGAAGGTTCCACCAGCATCCGCAGCTCTTTCCCGTTGTCGTCACAGTCGCTACCCTGCGAGTCCCGCCCCATGGAGCAGTTTTCATGTCCACTGGAGCCACTGCTCATGTCCACATCTTCCTGGAGCACAGCCTGGCTGGGCTGAGGCTCCACTGACTCCTTGGTGGGGCTACCGGGACTGGGGGAAAAGTTCGAGTATCCATTCATGTCGGGCTCTGGAGTGAAGCTGGCAAAGGAGAAGACTGTGGTCAGATGTTAAAGGCACCAGTAAAGCCATGTTGGCACACATCCTTAGTCCCAGCACTCAAAAGGCAGAGGCAGGAGGCTCTCTGTGAGATCAAGGCCAGCCTGGTCTACATAGCGAGTTCCAGGCCAGCTGGGGCTACAGGGAGACCGTCTCAAAAAACTAAACAAAAGGCATCAGCAAGGCTGGAGATGCAGCTCAAAGGTAAAGCACTAACTAGTACATGACGGTCCTGCATGACTCCCAGGATCATGAAAAAGCGTACATAGCGAGTTCCAGGCCAGCTGGGGCTACAGGGAGACCGTCTCAAAAAACTAAACAAAAGGCATCAGCAAGGCTGGAGATGCAGCTCAAAGGTAAAGCACTAGTACATGACGGTCCTGCATGACTCCCAGGATCATGAAAAAGCATGCATACATGTGTGTATATAGAAATATGGAAGAGAATTCTAAACACCAAATGCAACTTGTAATCTTCACTTAGGTCATGGACTAGGTAAAACAATTCACACACCAACACGCGCGTACACACAGGTGTGCATGCATATGAACCAGGAAGGGGCGCCAGTGAGGGAGCAGTCTATTTGGATTGTTCTGTGCAGTTCACTGATGAACTGCACAGGTCAGGATCAATGACAGGCTGTCACTTAATCATGCTGTTTATGTGTTCTGAATTCCTAGGTTCCTACCTGCCCTACATCAGGAAGACAGCTGACCTGGGCACCTCGGCTGGACATAGATGTGCACAGCCTTGTTAGCAGGGTAACAAGGCACTGAGAGCCACACAGCTAATATGAGTAACGTTGGGAAACATATGAAGTCCCCAAGAATGGGAAGCATGGCCTGGGTATCTGCACTCTACAGATGCCCCAGGTGACACCAGCAGTAAAGTTCAGCAATCACACCGTCACAGCAAGGCAAGAGCTATAGAGAAGCTGGGGACAGCAGAGCCTTCTGGGGAGGTAAGCCTGTTGGGTGAGGTGAAGAGGTCTCTGTCAGGCAGGTCCAGCAGGTGTGGTGTACTCCAATTACTGGGGCTCCAGGCACTGCAAACAGCCTGACATTGGCATAAGGTGGTACCAGTTGGGAGGGCCCTCAAGCTTCCCTTGGATGGTCAGGGGCCACTGAAGTGCCCAAGCACCAGAGCCATGGGACTTGGTTTACATCTGAGAGGACCCCATAGCTACACTGGATAGAAACTTTAACTTCGGTGCTTGGGGGGTAGGTGGCTGGAAGGTGGATTGACCAACAGGGCTTCTGTAGAGACCTGAGACCCCTGGAGGGTTACAGACTGAGTGGGAATGGTGGGTAGATTAGCAGCCAAGACGCCACAGCTCAAGTACAGACGACTGTTGGACTGGAGAAAAGGAAAGGACCAGGGATGATACTCCCAGCAGGACCCTGGCAGGAAGCCTGGGCACCAAGGTCAGACTGACGAAGGCTTGGGCTACAAGGTACACCATGCTTATGAAAACAGACAAAGCAGTGGAGGGCTGGAGGCTGGGTTGAGAAGAGGCTGTTTCTACCCAGTGTGGTAAGGAAGAGGGAGGAGCAAGGGAAAGCCAGACCACCCTGGGCTGAGAACAATGCCTGACTGCTCTCTCTTCCTGACCTCCACTTTGCCAAGAGGAAGCCGCAGGGCTAGGGATCCACCGACTCTGGCTACCAGCCTGGAGGTGGCAGCGTCTTCACCAGGGGGTTTCCTTGCAGTCAGCGAAACAGACAAGTTGTCAGTGGAGAGCCAACATGGCATCCAGGTCATGCTATGATCATGGCACGTGCTGCTGTAGGAGCCCATGTACAGATGAGCTGACAGGGTAAGACACTCACTAAGGTCAGAGAGGAGCAGGTGATAGCCTGCTCCACAGCCTGACCGAGGACGTTCCATGGGGGTCCTGCACCTGCCCTGAGCATTCCCCATCTGTGCAGCATATATATGTTTCTTCTTGGGGTGAGCCTGGGGGGGCTGAGAGGGATGACAGGGGACACTTTCTGGAGTCACAGCCACCCCCTTCACTCTAGAGTCCATGTGAAACAACTGATGCTGAAACGGCTGGGGGAGGGAAATGGTTTTTAGCAGCCCAGGAAATGCCAAAGGGTCCTAACTGTTTGCCACTAAGCGAAGTATGTCAGTTATAGCTGAGATGGAAGCAGATGTGTGCAGGGATGGCACTGGGGTCTCGAACCTTGCCCACTGTCCCAGGCCCAGAGGAAGCAGGCCAGAGCTGCAAACCAATACCCTCCTCACCCTGCTGTGCTGGGACAAGTGGGGAGTGTGACCAGGCCAGGGAACAAACAGAACAGCCTGAGGCCCCTCCAGGGCTACACTGACAAAGTGGCCATATGTGCAGGAAACAAAACAAGGCCTGCATTGGGACGATACCAGGGTGACATCAAAAGCCCCAACATGATCCTCAGCACCTCCGAGTCGCACGCACTGGC